AATAATAAAATATAAAATATAATAATAAATATAACTAGATAATAAAATATAATAATAATAGAAATATTATTACAGTACATATGTTATAAATTGTTATAACTCAAATGTTAAGATTAATTCTGATCTTGTAGATAGAATGAATTATTTGATCAGAGAAAGAGAAGGAAAAATATATTTTAATCATGTAAAAGGACACTCAGGAATATATGAAAATGATCAAGCAGATAAATTAGCATATTTAGGATCATTAAAAGAATATATAAAAGATTTTAATTTTTTATCGACTAATAGAGAAAAGATAGATTTTTATTTCAAGAAACAGAACAAAAAAGATGACTCAGAAAATGCAACTGATTTATATTTGCTAGAATTTACACGTATACTTCAATTATTAGAAGAAAATAATGACAAAAACAAGTTATTGATCAAGACAAGAAACAAAAATATTTATCTGATGCTTAGTGAGAATCGAATCGAGAAATGGTTAAAGAATAATTGGTATCGTTATAGATCAATTATAAAATTAAAAGCTCCCAAAGAAATTTGTATACGAATTAAAAATCTAATAGATAGTCGAACAAATGAAACAGAATTTGTATATGTAAAAAAGAGAAAATATAATATAAAATAAATAAAAATTATTTTTACTTATTATATTCTTAGTATTTTATTTTGTATTTAGAATAATTTAACTAGCAAACGTTGTGATTATTGTTGAAAACGTCAAGCCTGCACCTGATGGCATTCATCAATAATCATCTACATTTCTAATGAAAAAGAACAGCTACAATACACACTTGTGGAAAGCTCTATGGGGTTACATCAACAAGGATAATAAATTATTGAGGGATCATAGTGTTTTTTGTACGTTTGCTATGACAATTCAAGGTGAGACTGGGTCATAACCATATCAATGATATGGGAACCTTGTATCAAAATAATAACAGACAAAAAACATAGAATATATTTAATCAGTTTTTTTTAACTAATTAAATTTTTTTATTAGTAATCAAAATGTCTAAACTTTGTAATTTTGAATAGGATGATCAAGATTATAAGAAACAAAGTTTCAATACCTAGTGGCAAGATAATTTTTAATCAAATTTTCATAGACCTATTATGTATTCAGATAATGAAGGTCATATTGTTGAGTATCTTCAAGTCAAAGTTTTGAGAATAACCAAAAA